TGAATTGGAAGAATGAGTCACAATTAAATACCTTCTATTTAAAAAAACCCCTACCAGATATAAAAAGTGCCACTGAACTGAAGTTCTTCACCACAACGGTGGTGACAGACTGGCACAGGTTGCCCAGAGAAGTGGTGGAAGCCCCATCCCTGGAAGATTTTAAGGCCAGGCTGGATGGGGCTCTGAGCAGCCTGATCTAGTGGGGGATGTCCCTGTCCATGGCAGGGGGGTTGGAACTAGATGATCTTTAAGGTCCCTTCCAACCCTGACAGTTCTATGATTCTAAATGTCCGCTGTACTCAGCCGGGCAATGTGTCAGAAGCGCTGCTATCAGTGCAGCTCTGGCCACTGGACTACCACGGACATGCCCCTCACCCCTCGTCACACCAACACTCTGCTTCTCCCCCATCTCCCACTAAAGTCTCCAGTTAACGAGCTCCACCCTGTGACCAGTAACACCGGGCCTGTTGCATGAGGAGGGAGTGCAGGAATCTCCTCAGCAGTTTTTGAGAGCAGTGGACGTGCAGATCCCCTCTCCTGACGGTTCTGGAGCACCACAGTTTCCTTCTGCTTCATCCCCCAGGCTGGATCTCGTTCAGATGGGAGCGAACCCTTCCTTAACTTGATCTTGTTGGAAATGGCAAGTTTGACCAAATAAAAATACTCGTGTAAATGAAGCCTTCAATTAAGTCTCTATAAAACAATGTCTCAAAGTATAAACAACATTTCTACTCGCTTGTTGACTGAGAAAAAAAAGACAATGTGAAAGGTATTACTAATTCAAGCTAATACTCCTCACTTCTATTAAATCATTAAACTACAAATAACCCTTAGAGTATTTTCAGTAAACTCTATTGCAATTTCTAGCTAAAAAAAACCCCTCTGAAGCAAGCTGTACAGAACCCCCCCATGTAACTCGAGAGGGAGCACAGAAATTTGGGAAGGGATCAAGGCATAAACAAAAACATGAAATGGAAATGAGCATCCAAACCAGAAAAATATATTTAAGTAATATCACAAATACACCCTCAAAAAATCTATTTACAGATCTAAAATTGGTACATCCAGTAAAAATCCTCCCAAAGAAAGGTATTTATAAATGAGAAAATTAACCCAGTTACATTATCTACTGGCAGCAGAGGTGCTTTACAACTAGCATAGCATTAGTTATGCCTTTGCCAAATAAAGGGAAAACTTAATATAAGGCGAAGAAATTCTTTTTGGGAAAAACTTAACTGATGGCTGGACAACAGCAATCACAAGGCATACAAAGCATAGGGAACTGCAAATACCTTACTCTGACAGTGCAAAAATGAAGAAGAATGGCTATTTTTCCCCCCTCAATACCTGTTCAGAGAAAAATGCTACCATGAATTTGCAATTCAAATTCCTTTTAAAGAAATCTGTAGGTCTTGAATGTATTTCCGAGTTTCAGCAAGGCAGATAGTATACCGGAGGTAAATGAAACATAGTCAACACAAAATTACTACCGTGATATAAATTTATAACAACCTTTATAACAAAATGTTTGACTATACAGTACAGGCAAGCCTCTAAACCCAAAATAGTTAAGAGTTTTCTCCTTCCAGACAATCTGTAAGCATGCTACCTCTAAAGAAAAACAACTTGTAGGGAACTAACAGTGTATGTATGTAACATTCTTTGGAATTAGGTTTTAATTTCTCTGTCAGGTGTTGCCCCTCCAGGAGCTGGAGAAAAACTCCACCTGGGAACATGGGTCACAGTAGGATGCCTTGATATTACTCAGTGTAGAAGCGAAGAATTAATGTTGTTGAATTCCTGAGGCTCATCATCCCACTGCACTGGTTTTATTGTTTTGAAACACACAAGCCAGTCTCTTCATTGAAAAAGGCCTCATAGCTTGAATGGCTGTAAACATTTCTTTTAGTTAAAATCAGCATTTTCGCTGTGCCTTTGATGTTTAAAAAAATAATAAAATCAAAAGCAAGAATACCTAGAGATGTTAAAACTATTTCAAATTCAGAAAACTAGAGTTCTTTAACTGAGAAAATTGAAACAAACCTTCAAACGTGATTGGTTTTGCAAATAATCTTTTTGCTGTATTTTTAGCTGACTCTTTATCTAACTTCCAGCAAACTGCTGAAGATCACCCAGTCTACCCTAGAGAAAATCCAACGGTTTGATAAGTAAGCTGGAAGCCATTTAATAAATGGAGGCAAAAAACCAGCACCAACTGCTGTGTTTGTTCTGCCCAAAGTGAGGCTCATCACTGCCCTGCAGATACTGCTCCAGGTCGCACGATGGGTTGGGGAGTCCCACTTTTCCCTGTTCCCCTTGACGTACAAAAAGAAAGACAGAGATGACGCCCATAAAAAAACGTTACAGTAGCAGATACATAGTAAGATTTGCTCGTTAAAATTAGCAAGAAGTGTTACGGTTGGTATTCAAAGCTTTTCCAAAACAGAAAGGACTAATTTCTTGACTTTGAAATGTTCACAGGGGGACTGCCAGGTATTAGTGTTGCTTTACAGGGACTTTGTTAAAAATTTCCAGTGCTCAAGTTGAAACAGTTTATGATACAACCAGATGAACATTTACTGAAATAGCAGTCCAAATACTGGTAATTTTACACACTAAATGACTGCCTTTATGCACTCTTTTTTCTTTACGCTCTAGGGCTGTTGACAAGAAAATGGCTGAAAATGACTTCTGGAGAAGAGGCAGCGCTGATCTTCTGCAGCCTCAGAGATGCTCATTCAGCCCAATCTCAAGTGTCTAATTTATGTGCTTGAACAAGGAGCTCCTGCACCCAGCTCAGGCTCCAGAGGACAACTTAGAACAGAAGGGCTCTAAGGTTATTGAACAGACGCAAGGGATTTGTCTGCTTGACCTCTGGCATATGAAAGCAAAACCAAAACAAATCCCATAGGCGCAACCACAGGAAAATTCACCCTAAACCAGAAAACAAATGAGTCTGGAAATACTTGCTTCTCTTTGTTAATGAGCGGTGGAGCACTTGGGGTCACTAGCACGGATTCCTAACTTTCAAACATCTGAATTTAAATGACTCCTACCTCAGGCTCCCACGGCAGGAACTTAAGTTGGGTACCTCAGTTAGACAGTGAGACAACCCTCTGTCCTTCCTGGGAACGACTACCTCTCAAACCTGTGACGGAGCTGCAGTCACAGCATTTACCCAGAGAAGTAAGACCCAACAGAACTGAGTGTTGGTGGGGTATCTCATCTCTCATTTTTTCATATCATATCATTTTTTCATTTATTTTTTCACTTTATGGAAGGGTGATGGAGAAAAGCAAAGTGGGGTCGGGGTGGTGATGTGCTAAACAAAACTGTGTAATACTAATGGAGAAACCTAGCGGCTGTCACTTGTAAATCCTGCAAAATCACCGTTTTGAAGTTGGTGGGTTTGAATTACTCTGGCTATTGCAGATCTCGTAAATTTTATTTTCAGGAGTTACTAACAGGCATCAGTGTTAGCAGATTTTCTAACTTAGGTGGCTAAAAATTTCAAAAGGAATTAGAAAACCTCTTGTTGGCAAAGACTTAAAATTAAACTCTTATTTTCATGTATTTAAATAAATAAATAAATAAAAAGCTATATTTTAGACAAATATGAGCTAATGGCTAACATTTTTATTACAACACTGATGGAAACAGAAAAAATGTAAACTCTAGGTCTACTGGATTGCACACATATATGCAAAAACCCCACCACAAGCTGTACTGTTTTAGCTGCTTGGTTGTTTCAATCATTATTTTCTGCACTTGAGGAAACGAGATCAGAAAGCTATGCAGCTTCTCTGACTGAAGAGGAAAGGCCAGGACAGGATTTCTATAGTCCCATCCAGCTCTCTAAGTGGAAGAATTAAGAATTTGTGGCTGGGAAAACAGAGTTGAGGAATACTCAGGATTCACTCCTGTGCCAAGGGAATAATCCAGTCTTTCTGACAAACTTTGCTGGTGGTTTTAACAGTTAATGAACTCATCAATCCAATCGTGTACTCAGCATTTAGGTCTCAAGTACAGCAAAGACTTCAGATACACGTGGAAGCAAGGCAACACTTATATTGCCATTTTTGTCTATGGATTATTTTCTTTGTTAAATTCATTGGGTTTTGTTTTGTTTGTTTGTTTCTTCAGGGTAGCTTTTCAAAATGCAAACTAGTAAGAGCCTGGAAAAGACCATCCTAATAGGTGAAGAAAAACCTCTCAGTGCACCTTTTAACCCACACATGAGTTAACTACTGGGAATATATACAAAACAAACAAACAAACAAAAAAGATCACCAGCAGGATACTGAATTTTGAAAGTAACACTAAAAGTTTTTAAAACTGCACTTCAGAAAACACTGAGCAGCATCAGAACATTATAGAGGGTTGTCTGATCTCCTTGTCTTTTGTGGCAAATCTCCACTAACGGCAGCAGAGAACTGAAGCTGGGGCTCTGGATGCAAAAGCAAATAAAACTAAAGATTCTTGGTAGCTACTCCCCTACAATGGCTATTTATTCTTCTCTCTTATGTTTTTGGCTTGGTGCTGTTTTATAATACCCTTGACTCCACCATGTAATTTCAAGGACATATAAATTGATTTGAGTATTAGCTTGGTTCCTTCCCTGTATTTGAACCTCAAAGTGGATATACACGACAAATCAGCATGCTCTAACATTCACACCAGCTGCTGTCCATCAAACTGGCGACTCTGAACAAAGGCTGCTTTAAGAAATGCACATGAAAGTGTGAACTCTGTCCAAAATGCATGGTCATATTAAATAAGTCTCTTACATGTTACATACAGAGCAGTAACAAAACCCAAATATCAAACTCTTCTGTTTAAGTCTGCCGTTTCTAACTGCTGCATATACTGTAGCTGCTCAGAGCACAATAAAGTGAGCCTAGCAGACTTTTTCAGAGAAAGACAGTCATATAAAAAGTTGTACATACAGTACTGTGAGAAAGTTCCCAGAGCTCTCACTTAATTTTCTCTTTGGTTGCTAATTAGGATTTGACAAGTTTGAAACCCTGTCCTGTGTCCAGCACCGTGGGAAGAAACCAACTCATTTTCAGTCTTTTCAAGCACCTAAAGCACGCTTTACAGACCCAGAACAGATTGAGACCACAAAACCAGTTTGCCAAATGTACTAAGGGGTAGGTGACATGTGGGAAGTACATCATCCAGTGTTTGGCAACGTCGCTTCCCGTCGGCAAATGCAAAGTGTAGTCGCTCCAGCGCTTTGACACCCCGTACAGCGCTTTCACCGTGCGTCCCTTGTCGGACCAGCTGATGTTGCTCTCAGGGTTGCAGTTGTACTCAACCCACTGCCTGGTGAAGTCACCAAGCTGTGGAGGGTCTGCTTCCTCAACGTCCACAACTCTGGCCATTTCTGCTCCTTGCACAGCAACATACTGGTCGTTGACTTTTCTTACTTCTTTAACCCAAGGCTGAGAGTTCTCACAGTCTAAAACGATGATGAGTCGAGAACAGAAAGTGCCATTCTTTTCTCTCCACCACTCCAACAGTGTGTCAAGTCGTAAAGCATCACCCCCTGCCACAAGGGGAAAAAAAAAAGAAGTATTAGGACAAAGAAACAGAAACCTCTGTAGAATTTTGACTGTGGCTTCCAAGAATCCCTTATTTTAACAACCTGGGCAGATGTAACGGAGGTTTTCAACTGATCGTGATCCTCCTTGTTTGTAGATGTTGCAGATCTCCACAGAGATACTGACTAATTCTACCTGGCTTGCTGTGGCAGATGAGGCCATTAACTCACACTTAACCCGCCCGCCCCCTCCTTGAAAAAAAAAGGAATTCAGAAATCCCTTTACAGAGTGAAAGAAGAAATCTGGAAATATCTGAACAGGGAAAGAAAATTTGAAGTGGAGTTTATTTTGCGTTAAATCTTAATATTTTTAAGGGAGGAAAAAAGGGCTCTTTAAATATGTTTATATTAAAAGGGACTCCTAAGAAAAAAGAGAGAATTTTTGAGCACAACACCTGCTAACAGTTTCAAAGCACAACAAGAAAGCCACCTACAGGCACAAACATTGCTTTGGCTTCAAATATTAATGTGACCAGAAATGGAAAGATTCACTTATAGACATAGTTGTCTTCAGAGCTTCAAGAGAAATAAAATTACTACGGATTTACAACTCAATGAAACAAAAATCTCATAGGAATTTCCATACAATGTTTATTTCCTATCAGCTCAGAAAACACAACTAGAGTGGCCAACTTCCCATGTTCCATCTTGGCTCTTGCTCCAACAATGCTCTGAAAGAGCACTGTAATTAATTTAATTGTAATTAAACCAAGTTACCTATAGTGGGGAGTCCTGCTTAAGTGTAAGGGACACTGAAGAACCTACGTATCTTTGCAAAGCAGACTACATACCCAAGTGCCTATGGAAAACATCTTGCAAACAAGGAAATAAATCTGCATTGGCTCCATACTGGCTATTAACGTGAAGAACTGGTATGTCCAGGTGCTGGCAGGATGGAGCTATGGTACAGATTTACAACAAAACCACTCTAGTTTGAAAATGTCAACTTAAAAGAAAAAGAATTTTAGAAAAATGTGATTTAAAATAATTGCATTGTAATTCCATAATGATTTTCATTGTGCTTAAAATCTTGTTAGCAGGACTTTAACTGTGCACATGAATCTCAAACAGAATAGCTGCATATTTCAACACTTACATTTCTACCTGTAAGGGGTGACAAAAAAGTGCTTCACATTAATAGCTTAGTTAGAGCATGCTACTGCAGTTGAAGTAAAAGCAAAATTACAGGGCTACAACTTTTCCGCCAAAAATGCAAACCTGGAAAATTTAGTACCAAGGAAACTCTTAATCTACAAACCTACAGTAATGACTTGTTTTGGTACACGATCCCCAAATTTCTGTAGTTAACTACAGCACAGATTTATATAGAAGCAGATTCCCTTTTCTAGGTAAGACTTTTAGTGCCAGTTCTCACTAAAAATTTCTTTATTTGTTCATGTTTTAAAGGCTTACAATTTATTTTAATGTAACTATGCAGGGGCGCAGGTGATTTCCAAACCGGACTGGCCAGGACTGCCCAAAGAAAACCATCTCATCCTTCAAACACATACAAACACATGCTCAGCCTCTAACCCTGCTGACCTCAAACATATGGACTTAAAAGCCAGCGCAAGATTTGGGCACCAAGCTGTGTAAGAAATCCCTGTGTCTGGCCACATCTGGCTCTCAGGCAGGTTTTGCAGGCAGCTAAGCTGACAGTTTCAGAAACAAAGACAAAGCTTCATTAGCTCAGCTCTTGCCTTTGCCTTCACTCAGAGAACATGACCTCCCAGGTCGTTTACTGCTCATACGTTATGCATGACTGGATAACAGTTTCTTTTATACCCCACTGTGTTACATCTCAGCTTCCGACAAGAGCGAAACATCATTAAAGAACTAATAAATTCAGTGAGCCTCCTTTCAAAGATGTCATTACAAAGCAAAGACTACACTGCTACTGCTGTGCCATATCACAGCGTAAGCCAACAGCGAGACGCTGCTTTTTCTATTAGATGCGAATGTCGTATTTCGTGTTGCCATCTCTCTTCATCCTCCGCAGAGGTCAGAGCACGGTACGCATTACTGGAGCTGATGACCAAATGTTCCATCTGTCACGAAACGTCACTGTCCAATGCACGCGGTACAATTACACAATCCAACAGCCTTCATCTCTTCAGTTTATATACTTCAACTTAAATTCAGGAGCAGTCCTAACTGGGAGGAGGATCAAGTCACACTCCATGATTTATCTAAAATTAATCTCAGAAAAGGATGCATGATCTGACAGCTGCCTATTCCTCTCCTTTATGTGACTACACATATCTCCCAACAGAAGCTGGAGATGTGCTTCAACAGAGTACTGAAAAGGAGCATTGTGAGAAAGCTGAACTCCACTCTGTTTACACACTATCTTTTAGCACAGAAACTTTCTTTTTATTTTAACAGTTACCTTGGCCCTAAAAGTGAAGATAGAGTTTAATTCAGGCTACAGCTACCTGAAGAGGTATACAGAGACCTGAGCTCCCATGTCACACTCCAGGCTGGCCAGATGTGAACCTGGATTGGGCTAGAAGTTGTCCAATTTTTGCAACAATATTTGGCCCAACACAGTAGAAAATTAACCCCGTCCGTGCCACTCGCTGGGGCACAGGTAGGAGGCAGTTTCACTGCACACCTGCTCCTCACAACATGTGGACACACTTGACAACTGCACGAGGTGACCGCTGCTCTTACGGACCGATGCACTTTACTCTGGGAGGAGTCATGCAGCCGCTCTGGCAGGCACTGCCGTTTATCACTCGCGCTGAGCTCAGACTACGGCCATGGCTTTTTTAACTCACTGACACAGATGAAGCCTCTGAGAAAAACTACGCATTGCTCTTCAGCAGGTGAAAAAGCTCAGGCACAGAGTTGCAGCAAAACAGGTACACAGCCTCCAGATGAAAACTGACCTGCACCTGAGCACCTCAGCATGACCACAGGCAAAGCTCAAATCTGCCTACACTGTTGACATACAAATTCATACAGTCACACACATGACTGTCATACAGAGCATAGTATGGAAAGAGCTGCTTCTTTACATCAGGTTAACTGCATATCACAGGCGCTCCTGCATTTCTCCATTCTCTCCACTAGCAGAGGCTGTCAGTTGCAACCCTTTTTGGCAATTCCTTGTAGCTTCTTAATCTCTCCACAGCTATGCTCTGTATATTACCCCTTTCCTTTCTTTCTTTTCTGCCAGCAGCTTGTATGAACCTGTTTCTCCAAAGACTGGTGGCTCCCTGCCATTCTGGACTATCAGATAACAAACACGACCAAAACATCAAAGTTTTGCAACACAGTATGCTTTTATAAAGAAAGAATTATTTGACTTGGCATCAAAACTATTAATTAAAAAAAAATCCCCAACCAGTTACCTGCCAGTGCCCATTCGCCAGTGCCGTGTGAGTGACCGCTGTAATATAAAATGTAGGTGTCATGTCTGGGTCCATCTGCTGTCCGAAGTTCAAGAAAAGACTTGATCTTGGAATGAAGAGTATCAAAGGTCAGTCCGCTTGTAGAGTAGTCACAACCATATGTCTCGATCATGTGATATGCAAAAAATCTTTGGATAGCATTAAGCATACCAGTAGACCTCAAATTTAACTCCTGCACGTGCTCAGGTGGAAGAAGAGTTGGCTGGCCATCAGGACTAAAGAGAAGAAAAACAGCTAGGATTACGATTTACAGTTCTTTCATGCTTAGCGGGCTCTTCGCAATCAGTGATTTTTTTTTTCCCTGTGCATATTTTCACTGCTACAAAGTAGTGCTGTTCTGAGTTAAAAAAGATTTGAAATGTACAGTTTATAAACAATTCAAAACACTGTATTTGAGTGAGGGACCACTATCTCCCCGCCCTCCTGTCACACCACTTCAAGGCCTAGTCCATTCTCCACCCACGCTACTCCAGCATCTGAACCGCATGTTGATCTTCCAACAGAAGAAATGTGTTTTGGGTAACATTATTCACAGCTCAGAAAATCAAAGTTCCAAGAAAATTATAAACTATACCTGGAACAAACCATGTGTATATGGATGTGTGTGCATGTTGATATATGTGTGTGCATATAAATATATATATATGAATATGGATATATAACGAAAGAGTCCCTGGGTTCCAAAATGTATTTATAGATATCGCCTATACAAAACCACATTCACAGAATTATTGAGGCTGAGGAAGCCCTCCGAGATCATCAAGTCCAGCCTGTGACTCAACAGCATCGCAACGGCCAGACCAGGGCACTAAGTGCTACATCCATCCTTTCCTTAAACACCTCCAGGAACGGTGACTCCACCACTGCCCTGGGCAGTGCATCCCAGTGCCTGAGCACCCTCTCCGTGAGGAAGGGCTTCCTGAGATCCAACCTAAACCTTCCCTGACGTAGTTTCAGGCCGTGCCCTCTCATCCTGTCACTGGTTGCCCGGGAGAAGAGCCCGACCCCCACCTGACTGCACCCTCCCTTCAGGCAGTTGTAGAGAGTGATGAGGTCCCCCCTGAGTCTCCTCTTCTCCAGGCTGAACACCCCCAGCTCCCTCAGCCTCTCCTCACAGGACTATATTTTATTCTATAAAAATATGTATTAAAACATATATATAAAATACACACACGCTTCTTTCTTAGGTCTGCACAGCTACTCAGTAACCACAACAATGAGAGATTTCATCTTGCAAGTCATCCAGTTATGGGACTGCTCTTCAGGATGTGTTTTCAGAAAAAGAAATCTATTCACTGCTCTTCAGTCAATGAAATAATGGCAATAAGGAGTGTGACTGACAGCTGTACCTAACTGGTCTGATTTATGCTTGGTTACAGACATGAAGAGGTTTTGTGGGTGAAAACATGGAGGCGCTTTTACTCTATTAACTTCTGGTTTTTATATATCCATATATGTATGTATTCTTCATGTACTTGGTTTGCAAGTCAGTGTGTAAAGCTCCCTTGTTTCTTTATTGGCCTAGCTAATTAAATTTTGTACCTCATCACCTGCCTAGTCCTTCATGAAAGCTGCCATTCCACTACTATAGTTACATTAAATACTTCATCATTACTATTTGTCTCAGCAAGTGAAGACTGAGTCCATCATTGAAGCAAGTAAGTTTTGTTAATAAGGAAGTTTAGCTCTGTCAGGTCCTAAACAGTTGATCAAGAGTATCTCATCACTCAAAAATTCTGCCAGAGCCAGAATAATGTAACATAAGGTAACATAACAACAACAAAATTAAATTGTTGCAATGGAGAAAATGAAACTATATTGTAATGTACGTTTTGAAAGTTTATCTTTTTAAATTCCTAACTATAATTGATCACATGGATTTTTTTTTAGAATGCACAGCAGAAGACTGTAGATCAGAAGCAGAGAAAAATTGTTTTTACAGTATTTTATGCTATTTAAGATACAGTGATCTAAGTTCAGCACGTTACCTTCTCCTCCTTTGCCTGGTAATTTTTTTCCCTATCCACTAAATCCATTACACATACCCAAGCTGGGCAAATTTCATAAATTGAGTGGTTCTAATTTTAAGCCTCTCGTTTCAACTTGCTACTGTGTTTCTCTTCTAACTCAGACAACTTACATAGTTCTTGTTTATAATCCACTAAAAAAATATATGTACACACAATTTTAATTGTATGGCTAAAGTAGCATTTGCAAGTTCAAAGCTTATAAGAAAAACACACAAGTGGGCAAATAATAATGGTACAATCCCTCCACCCCAAGCATTTCTCATATTGCAACACTTATATTGGAACAAACACCAGCTGTAAATTCACAATACCAATAACTGATGTGTAGTCCACTTGCAAATTTAATTTCAATGTCCTTTAAATGTAGATGCCATCTCATTTTATACAATTCAAAATTTTTTTGAACTGGTCTGTTTTCTTTATTAAATCTCGTCATGCAACACATCTGCAGTCAGTTAAATGCCCTAATCCTCCTTTGAGTGAGATATGGACTGTGGAATATGCCTATGCATGACTGCTGTGTAAAACATTCATTGGCTTTCTAAAAGCAAATTAAATACATGTAAAAAGTTGGAGTGACTGACTCTTTTTGGAAGGAGAGGAAAAAGAAAAATGTAGAATCTGCCTGTTACTTAAATTTGCGTTTAATTATTGAAAAATACAAGCAACAGCACTGCGTCGCCTCTACAAGTTATCCTTATGCTGATTTGGAGCTGAAATACAGGGTAGCTGTACCTGCAGAAGTTGGTGGGAATCACAACAGCATACCCGATGCACGTTCCTCCCAAGCAGTTTCCCAGCTCATGGAAAAGCCCATGAGCCATGGACTCCAGAGGTAAAACGATGAGAAACGCACTCATGAAGATTCCATTGGTTGGCTAAAAAGAAAACAGAGAGATTTAGGTACCGCAGGAAAAATCCTTCCTGTCTGCTGGTTATGGCTTCATGAAAAAAAATCCGTTTCATCACACATAACTGAGTCCTGAAACATGCAAGTTATAATATGTAATGTAGACTTATTTTTCCACTTATGAAGTGATGAAGTACTCTGAAGACAAATTAAAGGATAGGGGAGAAAGCAGCTCATATGCAGAGATCACTCTTCTGAAAGGAAAATACAAACACTGAAAGGAAAAATTTGAAAATACTAACAGCACAGGTCTTCGGTTTAAAAGCCCTGGTCATAGCTTAGCTTTATCCGTTTAAGCAGGAAAATCACATGTCACAAAATGATTTATGTACCTAAAATGAATATCTGTAAAATCTGCAGGGTCAGGCTTTAATCAGTAAAGTACAACACAGAACATTATGCACCTATCATCAGATGGCAGCATACTATATTGTATCATTAAAAATAGAGATTTAACTATTCTTGCTTTTTAACACCAAGACTTGTGAAAATATTTTTTGTGCAATACTAAGCATCACACAAAAGATGGCTTCTGAGAATATTTATGAACACTATTGCAAAAAAAAAGACACTTCTTTATCAGCTCCATAAAGATCAGATGAGAAGGGATGTCCACTACAGGACTTTGTACCATTCACACAGCTCATAACCTACAGCGAGCTTTCCTGTTTTGTGGGTAAAAAGTTTTGGAAGGTTTACACTCACTGATACATAGATGGTTTATGTAAAAAAAAAAAAAAAAGATATTTCAAAGTTAAGTCTCAACCACTAGTATTAGTAAAATAAAAATGGACTTCTGAAATGCCAGCTGTCAGTAAAAGACAGAACAGTTACAGATTCATTTTAATTATTTTAATACAATGTGAATGGGTTTAATGAGCCATTAAATGCTTTAGGAAAGGTAGAAGCAGTATTACAACATATAATTCATCGAGAACTTTATATCAAGAACCATATCCATGGTGCAGTTATTAAATATTAATGTTTGCTATGTGGCTATGGATTTCTATCTTGCGAAAAGTCCTGTGGCCTCTGACCGCATCTATGTTTTATTTGTCCTCTCTGCATAAATCTAAAATATTAATGTTTTTTAAAAATCTGGATATTGCCTAATCGTTTAACACTCAGTGATTTCATGTGGACTGGTAGTTCAGCTTAACACACAGACATAGCTATTAATAACCTGGAAAGTACATTATACTGGAAAAAAGGGACACCTAAGCCAACTCAGTTCGTGTCAGCACATGACATTAACTCAACTATATTCGTTTTTTAAACACATAAATATTATATGACATAGTCTGAAAGAACCATTTTACCCATGTAATGTGCTTCCCACCTGAATAATACAGGAATAATACTGCTTGTTATACGCTGCTGTTTTAAAAAGGTGTCCCATTATGCTTCTGATGGAAGGATCTCACCTACGTATCCCTGAAATTGTGACAGCAATACTTCTAACAACAAATAACACCAGAATCTGATATTAACTGATAACTAACTGATATCACTGTTATCAAATAATCAGCAACTGTTAACTGATAGCATTACTCTCAAATTCCAACACCTGAAACCACTAAAAAACTACATTCGTCTCCTATTAAGCCTTGTGCGACTCACAACAAAAGAAAAGTTTATTTATTCAGGTTCCAGCTTTCAAGGACATGAGCACATGACAGCGAGCAGACATCAAATCATGTTACAGAACAACCGCAGAGAGCTTCCCTTTACCCACAGCCCTGCCCACCCCACCACAGGAGTGCAATTAATACGCTCATCGGCCACTCCATCGACGGGTGACAATGTCAGTGTTAATGCTGCAACCCCATTTCACGCGGTGTGGTGTCATTTGATGTTTTGGTGCTAATGATCTGAATCTGCAACAAGCAACATGTGCCCACGTAGTGCACGTATGTTATAAGAGATTTGCAGTCACTTTTACACATGTTGTCTTCTCGGCCATCTCGGAGGGTATTCTGCCCTGTTCCACGTACAGTTCTCTCCCTGTCCCAGTCTTGCCTACACCCAGAGAGTCAGGATCAGTGAGTGAGCAGGTGGTGGGCATTTAGGACAAGTGCAGAGAAGCAGTCACAGAATGATTCTCTGACACAAAAGTGGAGAAATAAGGATTTTCAGAATAATTTCCCCCAAATCCATAATCAGTTGAAACCACCTGAAGACGGGAAAGCTTAAAGCGCTGTAACAATTGCGGTGCAACCTTAATTTGTTTTGTTGTCACCAAGATCAAAAAATCCTGTAACTAAGACAATATAATTTTCCTTTCAAATGTATCAGCAGAAAGTGCTCATTTCTCTTGCTCAGTTTCCCAGATGCATTCTGAAAATGAAAAGGACTCAGAGCAGCAGCAATAAAAACTTCCAGAGATTGGGTTAGCTTTCGCTCTGCAAGAAATCTTGCAAAATATAAGACTTTAATGAAATTGTGAGGCTCTCTGGCTAAATTAGTTTCAAGATTTGGAAACTTACTTTTACCAGACAGATAATTTGCTCTAAGTTTAAAAAAAAGAAAAAGACTCAGATCCTGTAGAAATTGAAGGGCTTGTCTGGAAGTTTCCTACTCATGATCAGTTAGTTAAGAGGATTTTCTAAACTTTGGAAAGAGTTTTTTTCAGGAAGTATTATTATGCATTTTTATGACAAATTCAGTTTTTTCATCATATATAAATATAGCATACATAAATAAGACTTTTCCTGGATCTTGTCAGAGCAAACTACTTTTAAATTGCATTACTGTTTTGATCACCGTGAACAATTGCAAAATAAAACCCACATTTGCCATAAATCCTACAGCTATCATAACATCCTAAAGAATATATTATTACTTTACATAAATTTTATTCTAGAAATTTTCTTACAACACGTCACGTTATTCTAAACACTCCCTGCATTTCCCTAATCTCCTAGAACACACACAAGTTACTAAGTCTACAGAAGTTGAGATCATCACAAAGATTAATAGTTTTCAACAAGCTTATGATTTAATTGTTGAAAGTACTATTAATGCACAGATGTAGGCAGGAAAATTCACAAGTACTTGTGAGATGATACATAGACGCTGCAAGGATCATCTCAGTGATACATCTTGCTTTGTATCCTGCTTTGTATTTCATAGAATCATAGAATGGCCTAGGCTGGAAGGGACCTTAGAGATCATTTTAATCCAGCCTCCCTGTCACCAGGGACGCCACTTCTCGACTAGGTCAGGCAACACCTCTCGACTACATCAGGCAACACATGGGGACCGAACGGGAATTGAACCCGCGACCTTAGCGTTGTTAGCGCTACACTCAACTGACTGAGCTAACCAGTATTTGTAGAAAATCGAATCATCATAGAATCACAGAACGGTTTGGGTTGGAAGGGACCTTAGAGATCATCTAGTTCCAAGTCCCCTGCCATGGGCTGGGACACCTTCCTCTAGATCTGGTTGCTCAGAGCCCCATCCAATCCAGCCTTGGACACTTCCAGGTATGAGGCATCCACAGCTTCTCTGGGCAACCTGTTCCAGCGCCTTACCACCCTTACGGTAACAAATTTCTCCCTAGTATCAAACCTAAATCTTCCCTCCTTCAGTTTGGAACCATTATGCCTATCACTGCACTTCCTGATGAAGAGTCCTTCCCCACATCTCCTGTAGCCCCTTTAAGTACTGGAAGGTCGCGATAAGGTCTCCCCAGAGGCTTCTCTTCTCCAGGCTGAACAGCCCCAGCTCTCTCAGCCTGTGCTCTTAGGGGAGGTGCTCCAGCCCCACGATCATCTTTGTTGCCCTTCTCTGGACCCACTTCAACAGGTCCACGTCCTTCTTGTGCTGAGGGCTCCAGAGCTGCACACAGTACTGCAGGTGGGGGCTCCTGAGAGCAGAGCAGAGGGGGAGAATCCCTTCCCTCGACCCACTGGCCACGCTTCTCTTGATGCAGCCCAGGATGCGACTGGCTCTCTGGGCTGTGAGCGCACATTACTTGCTAAATATTAAACAGCAATGGGAAACATGCTCTATAGCGTTATCAATCAACTCAGCTCCTTACAAAGTTTCAACTTTGTCTTAATTTAGCAGAGATCTCAAGCTATCGAGTGGGGAAGTATTGTTAGTACACATATCTTTACATTTATGGATATCTATCTAATGTAAAGATACTGACACTTGCGGTTAACACTTTTTCAACAGTTTTAATTTAGAAGAAATATATCACCAACAAATATAAAAATGATTAGTGATGTTTAGAGCAGCTCTGTAGTAAGATATTTTAATTCAGTGCTGCAGAAAATATTTTAGAATATCTGAATTATAAGAACTTGAAATTGCAAAAAAATAATATCTAATTAAGTTAGTAATTACAGTAAATCTGAAGATAGGTTCCTCTTAAGATTAAGATGCCAGGTGGAGACTGTCAGTGCTTTACTAAATCCAAAAGATTTGACGACTGGTCCTTAATGGAGCAGATGGCCACGGATGCATAGGAGGAGCCAGAAAGGGATTTTGTTCTTTCATCTCTTCAACCCATTTTCATTCTGCTTCCAACTGCACCAGCAATCTCAGCCTGCGATACATCCCTGTACTCCAAGTGCCCACTGATTCCAGACAGACTGCTCAAAAAGCAAACAGAAGATGGGGACCATCTCAGCAATTCCACTGAAAACATGGGAAGCCATTTTATTTCTTCATCTCTTTGTCTTCCCTTCTTCTAAATGAATATTTAGGAAATACATCATGTTCTCATTTTAAATAATGTAGAAAAGGTAAAAAAAAATTAAAATATTGCCTCTGACAACTGAAAGGACAGACAATGAAAGATGGATAGGATTCACTAGTAGTATTTTTCCACTTTCTTTACCTTTTCAAGCAATGCTAATTGTTAAGTGTAACTGTTAAAACACTGGAACAAGTCAGAGGTATTTTACAGTTTTATATTAATGGACAGGACAACTCTGGTCCCAAGGAGTAAACCAC